TTGTCGTTGTCGTTGTCTTTGTCGTTGTCGTTGTCGTTGTCGTTGTCGTTGTCGTTGTTGTTGTTGTTGCTGCTTTTCTTGTTCTTGTTATTCTTCTTGTTCTTGTTCTTGTTCTTGTCTAGTCTCCTCTCCAGGGGCCCAGGGGTCATGTAGCATGCGGAACAGCGCGGAGGTAGAGAAAAACATGCCAGCGAAGATGTGCAGAGAAACGGAAAGATGGGCTTTTCGGCCTCTGTCGTCTCTGCTGTCAAGATATGACATGACTATGAACACCCCCAGAGGCCTGGAGAGATTGAACGGCCGAAATGTGAGTTCCCTCTAAGGGCGAACTCTCCGTCCAAGCACCAGACGGGCAAAGGCCCGGCTCGCCTTCAGTTCAGCGTTTACAGGGCACGGGCCAAGATCATCATTAGCATCGCCGCAACATATTCGCGCATTCATTTGATTTCCAGCCTTGCTGTGATCTTTCGGTTGCTAGCGCAATCCCCAACGCAGCTGGTCGACGAACATAAGTTCGGGCGGAGAAGTTGGATGGGAGCACCGGTATCGCTCGAAGGGCCAGAATTCCTTAGAATATAGTTCTTGGAGCAAAGAGCCAGATGTATGAGGCGTATTTAATGGGCTCTGTGAGTCCTCAGACAAAACCCGGAGGCGTTTCCTTCCATCGCTTTTGCCTTTCACTCTTTACTTTAATGCACTGATCAATATCTTCCTGCGCCCGACAGACCCGCAAACACGGCCCAAACCTCAACCTTGCTTGACTTTCGCAGGTGGCCGAAACGCGGCACAGGAGTCTTTGGGAGATCAGGAGACACGAGAACAGCGGCTCTGGGTGTGCTCTGTCTCGCAGCATTCTTCAGAAGGCATGGTGTTGCAGTATTTCATGCGCGCATGCTTGATGTCGGATTCAACATTATTCAACGGCTTGCTAACACTCACCGTGCACACAGGAGCATGCAGACAAGGTCAGTGAGTTTGTCTCACGCATGGCGCTCGGCGGGCGTCCAGCAATCTCCAGCCGATTGATAGTAAGTTGAAGCCGCCAGTCTTGAAGCCGTCCACATTGACATGTCGCGGTAGTTTCTCGACTCTTGTTTGCGCAATGGCCATCTCTCTATGTCGCGATGTTTACCAGCCTCTTGTCACGGGAGCGACTGCATTTGTGCCTTTCGATTCTATCACTGTGAGACTTAGCCCGCTTTGCCCATAAATATAGGCAGCAGCAGGATGGATCGCATCAGCCATGTCCGGCATTTGCTGCCTTTCCTTGACGCTGTGGATCTGGCAAGGTCCGAACGAGTCAATGGCACTTGGTGCAGAAGCGCAGCCGAACTGAACTTGTGGAAGGCTCTTTGCGCGATGTACACGTCGACTAAGCTGACTACGCGAGATGGGCGCGATGTTCCCTGGCCGAAGCAGGGTCTACAAAGCCTTCGTCAATATACCGGAGCATTGCATGCACTCGAACGATTAATCCTGAACAACGACGTGGGGCAGTGCGCAGAATGCCGCGGATGGCTTCGTGTAGATGACGGCTTCACGTGTGAAGAGTGCCAAGGTTTTTGGTGTGAAGACTGTAAGAATGTCGCACCGGACAAAACCCAGGTACCATGTAACCTGTGCCCGGACTTTAGCAAAAGCCACTGCCATCAGTGTTTCGAGGAAGGAAAAACAGAATATTGCGAGTGCAAGAATAGCGACAGCTGGCACGGCTGTTGCGGACGTCACGCTTTCGACTGTGAGAAATGCGGTGCTTGCTTGTGCGACGGCTGTTGTGGTGACCACGAGTGCGGGGATGAGGATGACTGAGGATTGCAGCCTGCTCGGGACGAGGCCTGCTGAACGCGGCTGCAGCAGATTGAAGAAGCTTGTGGTCGCCAGCGTTTGCGGCACAGCTGCTGGTTTCACCTCTTGAGTCGTCGGTTTCAATTAGAAGAGCTGGTCATCATGTGACCTGTGCCTCGCTCAAAGCCAAATCTTCTTGGTCCTGCTTGAGTCTGCGCACATCCATGCCCTTGTGGCTGCCGGGCCTTTCCGAATTTCCGCGTCAATTGGCAGTTGGTAACTATCACCAGCTCGTTTTCAAGAATCATGCAGCAAGTTCCTGTTTTGTGTGAGGTCAGATACAGGCCACCAAGTGCACATACACTGAGCAACATTCTTCTCAGAATCGCAAGTGTTGCTGCTCAGCATAACCATTGTCCTGCTGAGTACTCGCTCTGTTGCTTGACCGTCAGCACAGGGATTGTGATCATTGCTGCACCAGCAATAGTGGTTCATATTCACAACAACTTTTCATGTTCACCACCAAGGTTGCCGGTTACTGACTCTCGTTGATATGGGAGTCAGCAGTACCGTTCCCCTCCCCAGCCCTGCAATCAACCTGTCCGCGCACGAAGCAGAACTTGCCCTGCGACCTTGTTGCAGTAGTTTGTGTCGCTGCCGCTGTCGCTGCCGCTGCTGCTGCTGCTGCTGCTGCTGCAAGCTGTGCCTAGTGTTAGTTCCATTAGTACTACGAGTGCTATTTCTATGAATACGATTGCTCTTACTCTTACTGTTCTCATTTTACCATTGTTATTATTACCAATACTATTGCTAGTGCCATTGCTATTATTGCTACTGCTGCTACTGCTGCTACTGCTACTACTACTACTACTGCTGCTACTACTACTACTACTACTACTACTTCTACCGCTGCTGCTTTTACTACCGCTACTCCTCCTGGTATTAGTAGTAGTAGTAGTGTAGTGGTAATGGTAATAGTAGTAGGAGTAGTAGTAGTAATAATAGTACTACTACTACTACTACTACTACTACTACTTCACAACGACGACTACTACTGCCACTACTCTTGCTTTTACTACTCCTACTACCCCTACTACTCGTACTACTCCTACTCCTACTACTCCTACTCCTACTACTACTACTACTACTACTACTACTCCTACCACTACTGCTACTACTACTACTACTACTACTACTACTACTGCTACTGCTACTACTACTACTACTACTACTAGTACTACTACTAACTACTACTACTACTACTACTACTAC